AAATTTTAATAATTTTATTGAGAAACAAATAGCAATGAGACAATTTTAAAATCAATCAGTAGGACAGTTTCAGTAATAAATACATTGCAATTATTGTCTCAGTGGTTATTCATTGTAGAAGATTCAGACATGACATTCCATCCACAAACACTATTAGAACAAATCTTATTCATACAGTTGAAAATTTGTATCTATACCTAGAATATATTATATAAAAAGTTCTCAAAATTTTTTTAAAAAGAGCACATGATGTGAGCAAACATTTCATCTAAAACAGCATAGAGGATAGGTAAGGGTATGAAAGGTGCCCGGCATTAGCTCTGGGGACAGAAAATTAGAAGTGCAGTGATGTGGTATGCACCTGTAAGAAGAGCTGAAGTAAAAAGCAGCGTCAACACCAAATGCTGGTGAAGAATGGAGAAGCTGAATCTCACTTGCATTTTGGATTGACATACAGGATGGTTCTGTATTTCAGAAAACCCATGGCAGGCCTAGTATGGTAGTGTGCACCTGAAATGCCAGGACCTGGGCGGCTGAGGCTGGAGAATCACTGCCTATTCAAGGCCGATGTGGGCTACATGCTAAGTTCTAAGCCAGTCTGAAGTATATACCAAGGAGGCCAGCGGGATAGCTCAGCAGACTAAAGCCCTGCTTAGGCAAGCACAGGGACTGTAGTTTGATGCCCAGCATCACATCCCTCACAGGGAGAGCTGAGCTGGCCAGAGTCTGGGCGCACGGGTGCATGCCTGTAATCCCAGCTCTGGGGAGGCTGAAAGCAGGGGAATCACCATGAGTCCACGCTGTGTAGTGAGACCCTGCAACAACCAAATACATTTTTAAAAAACCTTGAAGTATATACCAAGACCCCATCTCAACCTTTCTGCCCCCTAAAATAGATAGATAGTTTGGTACTTTTTTTTTTTTTTTTTTTTTTTTGTGTGTGTGTGTGTGTGTGTGTGGCCAGCTCAGCCCACCAGGGGGCAGGCTGGCTGGCATGTGGTGCTGGGGGATTGAACCGCAGTCTCTGTGCTTTGCTAAGCTTGTTCTAAGTAGGTGCCCCAGACCACTGAGCCATCTCACCAGCCCCAGTTTGGTACTTTTTTACCTCATTTTATTTATTGATTTTTGGTAGCTTTTTATTAAATTTAGCACATTCTTAACTGTATGTCACGGGGCCAGGGAGATAGCTCAGTGGTCTGAGTGCCTGTCTGGAAAGTGCAAGGATGTGGGTTCGATCCCTGGGAACCCCAAGTACGCTGTAGGATCCACCAAAACCAGGTGTGGTGGCCCACACCTGTAATTCCAGTGCTGGGAAGGCTGAGACAGGAGGATCACTTGGAATCCGAGCTGTGTGGAGGGACCCTGTACCAAACAAATGAATAAATAAATGATTAAATAAATAAAACCTTTTTTGCCAAGTTTAAAAGTAGTGTATAATTAAAACATTTGTAAAATTATGGCGGGGCTGGTGAGATGGCTCAGTGGTCTAAA